CTAACAATGGCCTCCAACCTACTAACAATGGCCTCCAACCTACTAGCCACAGACTCTATTGAAAAATCGTAGATCCCTGCCTCAAAGTGGATTGATCTGACTCGCGCCAACTACACAACAAACCCAGAGGGACCGCAGCCATCTTGCCTCTGCACGCAATGTGCGCACAATGTTCATACCATCACATCACATAATCTCTGCATCTGTGAAGACCATCTCTAACTATCTTTGAGTTGTTTTGCTTCACCTGAAATCAGCAGTGTGTGGTTTGAGTCTCTGCTTTCGGATTGATGGTATGCATCAGCTCACCTACGCCAACCTCTGGACTAACTTGGCCTGAAAAATCCCATCCGTATCTCCTTCCTTTCACCTCTTGTAGGCTTTCATGACGTATGGTGAACTTCCCAAGACCTTTTCTGCATTTCGTTTTGTTTCTTTAACCCTTTTCGACCTTTTCATGTGTTCCCTGTTTTCCTTTTCGTGTGTTATTGTCTTCCCTCTACGCCAAAGGCGATCATCACACAGTGTGGACTTCTTCAGACTCACAGCACTTTGAAAAGGGTCAGTTTCGGGGTTGCACCTCCTAGCAGGCCGCGGACTGGAGCCATACAAGACGCGCATCTCGACCGCTCCACTCCTGGCTGATCCGAAGAAACAGCATCTTCTGGGGCATCTGTGTGTTTTCTCAAAATCATGTTGAAACTGGAAGATTATGTTGTAAGACAAATACACAGACGTTTTGGAGAAACGCGGTTTTGACATGCAAAAACGAGATCTGTTTTCAAAGCAAAAGACTGTGTCAAAGGACAGTCCTTTGGATGTGCGAAACGAGGTGAGACCGCCTCCGGGTTGAAGTCTCACTTCAACCTCCCCGCGTGGTTTCGATTTCGGTTTCAACACACTGCCGACCTGATCCATGACATACATGGCAGCGGCTTACATGGCAGGGATGCATGGGTAGCCAAACAGGCATTCGTGTTGGTAAGGGTCGGGTAGTCGAGTCCAAGGCCTAAGGTGGTCAATCGTTCAAGAATCAAAAGAAAGGAACAAAACCCAAGAAAATATGAAAGGAAGGTCTCGCTGTCCAAAGAGATAAAAGAAAATGGGACAGCCGCTCCTGGCGGACATGGTTTGAAAAAGCACTTTGGTCAGGATAACTTGCAAAGGCCAAAGAAACAACACCATGAACCACCATCTATAACACAATGAGCAAGGATAACACAATGAGCAAGGACGCTGCTAGGGGCTCCTGGCCTTACTACTAGGAGCAAGAAGCTACGAACGGGGCAACCAACAAATCATCTAAATCTAGTTTCATAATATGTCGGCAAATGTTCAAGCCCGCAGGAGAGTGGGGTCCCCGCATCAGCCCTGACAATAGGTCTTCAGAAATCGTATATTTTAGAAAAATCCTTGGAAAGCTCAGTACAAGCCTTTTGGAATGGGGGTTGATCCAGGCCATGCAACATGTGCATCCTATCAGTAAAAGGAAAGGCGAAAAGAACCATCTAGATAGTAGATCTTAATGGATTTTTGATTGTAGAAGTATATAGAAGTAGTATAAAGTAGTGGTCTGTAGCCTTCACCGATGCGACGATGCAGTCCTGTGCAGTGTCAAACAGAGCTTGGGCAGAGAAGGCCGACCCGGAAAGGCGGCGGCATATGGAGCAGTGGCAGTAACCTCGACCAGAAGTTGCGAAAGGGATCCCACAAACGAGCGAAAAAGGAAACAGAGAAAAAAAAGGAGCGAAAGAGGAGCGCTAGTAGCAACAAGTGCCTTACTAGTAGTAACAAGAAGCTAGTAGTAACAAGTGCCTTACTAGTAGTAACAAGAAGCTACTAGGAACAAGTGCATCGCTTCTAGTAACAAGTGCCTTACTAGTAGTAACAAGAGAAAAGGAACAGAAAAGAAGAAAAGCTCGCAAGAGGGCGCTCACTGCTTGACACGTCAGTGGACAAACTCCGAACCAAGGGTTCCACTCACAGCTCGCGCGTCGCCGCGGCAAAGAATCTGCACTTCGCCACCTAGCATCGCTGCGGTGAAAATCAATCTACATCCGATGAAAAGCTATTAGTAGCTCCTGGCATTACTATTAGTAGCATCCTTGCTACTAGTAGCGGGGCACCTTGCTACTAGTGGCAAGGACGCTACTAGTAGCAAAATGCATCGCTACTGGTAGCAAGGATGCTTTCAGACCTCATGGGTTGATCTGATGCAAATCATCCAGTTCAACAATGCCAAATCTGTCCCGAGGCTTTGGGGAACTTGGAAAGACCCACGGACTTCAACGGGGAAGTAGCGCTTCGGTTCTTGGAACACCTGGTTCCCGCCGTTCCGTCTTTAAAGGGAAGTAGCGCTTCGGTTCTGCATCGCTATAAGCAGATCTTAGATTCCTGATCTCGTGAGATCTGGTCTTTTGGAAGCACGACAACATGAACAAGTTTGGTCTGTCGGATAGGCAGAAACCGTAAACATGGGCACCGCACTGCACTTTCTTCGGGCGGCTTTGCTGTCCAGAGGAGTGTCACGAGAAGTTCTACTGAGTCGCATCCGAGTCCACCTCGTCCTCGCTCTCGGTGCGCAAGGTATTCTCTGTGAGGTCGAAGACACGGATTTGCTTTACATAGCCAGGGCGCCAAAGCCACAGCACAGCAGACAGCAGCAGCCACTCAAGCAGCTCCTTCACCATCCACATCGCTTGCCAGCTGATGACTCGAAGAGCAGCACCACAAAGAACTGGGATCATGATAAAGTACAAATAGCAAAGACGGAAGGTCATGTAGCTCTGAAGCTTGGCATAAACGACGCCAGCTTCAGTGGAATGGGCATGTGCATCAATGAGTTGTCGACCCAAGAGAAAAATGTTGAAATTGGTGGCGACGATGATGACCAAAGAGCAAAATGAATTGACCGTAAAGAGTGTGAGCAAATAGCGCTGCGGGCTACAGGCTCTCAATGCACGACAAAGGACCTCCATGGTTCGAAGCAGCAGGGACACGCCCATCGCCAGAAGGCCAAAAGTCCATTCAGAGCTCCGGAGGTTCGAGCGTGTGATCTTCCAACCGAGGCCAATCAAAAAGAAAAGCAAAATCACAGAAGTCTCAAAGAGATGTGTTAGCATTTGCCAAGAAGCTGTCCGTAGTAAGGACTGCTGTCCAGTGGCATCCGTGGCAGCCAAATCAATGATCAAGAAAGAAAGCAACAAAGCCTTCAAAAAGAAGCATGCGAAGAAGACCATGTGCAACTTACTACGCCAATTTTTGCGCAGCAGCACACAAACCACAAGCAGCAGTAAGGAGGCCAAGAATGCGACCAACAAAACACTTGCCACTTGCAAATTCACCTGCTCCTCTGGTGGCAACTGGTGTCCACTGGCTCCTTTGAAGCTCACTTCGCCAGAAAGCCTAGGTATGGCACCGGGTTTCGACAGGAAAAAACCCGGTTGACCTCCATGTTGACCTCCTCCAACTTGTAAGATGCCCAAAGAGGCACGGAGCTCATCATTCCAGACCTGGAAAGTTGCATTCACCGGCTCGGCAAGGCTAGCACGCCACAAAGCAGCCACATAGCTGTTGCCAAACTCTCGCCGTAGATTGTTCAAAGTCAAAGGAATTACCTCCCTACTCTGCTCCTCATTGAAGAGCAGAACCACGGCATTTGGGCAGGGTTCACTTGTAATCAAATTGATTCGGAAGGACGTTCCTGACTCTAAGAGGACTGGTGGCATGAGGGGTGTCCACGACCACACTAAATCCAGAGCTGCTTCGAAACGCATCTCCTCACTCCATCTTCGCGCGGCAACTAGCAATCCTATCTTCCAAACAAAGCCACAACAGCTGCTAGTCACAAAGGGCATCGCTACGAACGGAGCATTCGGACGCTACTAGGCGCTCCTGGCATCGCTACTAGTAACAAGAAGCGAAAGTCACAAGAAATCGAAGGAATCTGGTCCTGAGGTCTTTATGACAGAATTAAACTTGTGGATGAGAGTTGCAAAGAATTGCCAGCCACCAGTATTGTTTGGAGGTCAAAAGACTCTCAAAAGGGTTGGAGACCAAACAAATAGTGATGATTAAAGCAGTTTTTACTTCTGGGGAGCCTACGGTGCACCGAAGGGAGAAAGCTCCTAGCAGCATGTGTAGCCTCCAGGATTGATTCGATGTGGTAGTGCAGCATTCTTGAGTAAACAAAAGTGCAAAAGAAGAACGTGTCTCCCAAAAAGGGCAAGACCTGGCCTAATTGAAAAAGTGTTTGTAGACCTTCTATCTGGTTCCTTTTTTGGTTCTTCCTTTTTCAGAAGCAACGCAAGGAGACATAGCGACG